TAAATGGTGATTTTCCTCACCAACTGAAAATAAACCAGGGAAATCTTAGAAACAAAATACTGTCTTTATTCTTCCATTCTGTGCTCACTAGATCTAGTTATTCAGCCTTAGACTTCCTATAATGGTCGTCTCATGAACAATGTTCCTGTGTCATCTTGCATCCTCTTTATCCCTTGTTATTGCATTTCGCTGTAGCACTCTGGGACAAGGAACCAGTATTGATGTATCACACAATGCTGTGTACACTGGTTCTGTGCTCTTATATATATAGTCCCCAGGAGAGCTGCACTGGTGTTCCACTGGCTTTCAGACCTGGATACCCAACCAACGCCCCTCACTTCCCACTGTCGTGCCTTCCCACTGTCAGGTGCACTGGAGTTTGTTACTCCAGTTAAAAGCCAAACCCACAAGAACAGACAAAGCCCCAGCACCGGCAGAAGAACTCACCTGCAGCACTGCTCAGAGTAGCTGATTTCAAGCAAGAACTTAGCATAGACTGTGCTCAGCTGGTTCAGATGCACCGATGCTGTAATGTGGCCTTAATCTTCAGAAATGGCAAATCCTATTTACTGTGTAAGTATTTAAGCTAATTAGACCTCTGATGTGGGGAACATGTGATAAACTGTTCACACTTTATCCTGTAAAGGACGTTGAAGTCTTGGACCTGCCTGAAACATTCTGTTCCATTTTGGGGTGTCATATGTGCTCAGCACTGTGAATAGCAATAGCATAATTTGGTGATAGTATAAAGACACTGAGTATGTTATGGCTAGATCATTTGTAGAGCAAAGGAAGAAGTAATTTATACAAAGTTCTTCCTGGAAGCACCATGTTTACGTTGCAGGGACACAGTTGTGGTATGTGTGCATTATAGGAGTGATGCCTGTTGCTCTACTGTTCAGTTCTGGCTAGCACTGGGGTGAGGATCCCATGGTTACAGTGTGCCCACAGAGAGCAGGATGCCCTGCTGTTTTGGCTAAGAAGAGAATGAGTGAGAGGCACTGGCAATGGGCACTGGATGCGGCTGCTTGAAAAAAAGGGCAAAAGCAGTAAATAGGTGAAGGGAGGCTGGTTTCAGACCCTGGCATAAAATGCTTAGTAGGGAAAGAGTAAAAATGGAAAAGGGCCTGCTAAAATGCCACATAAGCTGGTTAGTCTAATTGGAGATAGGAGAGAAAGCACTTAGCAGCTCATCCCCGAGCCGGGCTGGTTATGTGGCAGTGCTGGTTACAGAAGTGCTGTTAAACATGTACTGCTTGTACTGGTACCTGCGCAGTGTGGGGCAGGGGTCAGGCACGTCAATTTATCATGCGACCTTTGGGAGGCAGAAGCTTTCTACTTTGTATTCAATGAACTGAGTCTTCCCTTTTCTGCCCCAAGGTCTTGACCCTTGTTCTCCGTGACTCATGAAGGAGAAGGTTGCAGTTCACCCTCTGCGTGTGACCTGACTCCCCGCCATTCTTGATCTTGGTTTAATCCAGTAAATCATTGGTCTTCCTGAAGTCAAGCTAATTAAGGTTCATATGATCAGGACTTCATCCCAGATATGGGTTACAGCTTCCCCAGCTTGCTTATGTGACTTATAGTGGAAAATGTGAGAAACAAACTGACTTAGTGTAGCGAAATCACTCAGGTCTCTTGGCGTGGCACAGGAGGAACACTGCATCGCGCGTCCCTTGATGGCTGGATTGGAATGGTCTTTGTTGCCCAGCATGAGCCCTTGCTCTTCCCGAGCCTTCCCCAGGCTCCCTAGGCTGTAAACAGGCAGCATCGGTCTCCCTGGGTGCTCAGCTACATGATGGGGATAATATTTATTCGCCTGCTGTGAAGCACTTGGGTGTCTATGGTCCTCTGGAAAGGAAGGTCCCTGACCTGGTGTCTGTGTCCCTCATCCTGGACTGAACCACCCACGTGATGGACCAGGCACTGCTTTGACAAGGCTCCAGGGGTGTCGGGCAGCACAGCCCAGCCCTGGGCAGAAAACTGCTTTCCCACACAAGAAAACAGCAGTGTGGAGTCAGCTGTGTTTCAGAGTGACAGTGGCCTTCCAAAAGCCAATACTGGTCTGAGGGACTGCATCACTTGATGAAATAATGATTGGCATGAATTCTAACTAGTTTAGAATTAGTTTACGCATGCATTAAAGTGCACTGTCGAGAAAGATGACTCTTCTCTCTCAAACGTATGCAGTTAACTGTTTATCTCACTGTGATCTCTTCTGGGCACAGTTAGTGCCTCTTCCCAGGGTCCTTGCTCCCCTGTGTCACCCTGTCCCCTGGGGTGGGGCAGAGGAGCTGTGCCCAGGGCTGCTCTACACAGACTGGCCTCAGGCATCATCCAGTACTGCCCTGCCCATCAGTCAATCAACAGGAATAGTTCACAGAAGTTTAGAAGAAATGTTGTTATCTAACAGCATATTTAACAGTTAAAAAAATCAGGCTGTGTTTGAACCCAGTCCAGTCATTAGGAAAATAGATTTAGTGCCTTAGATGTGAAGGTAAAACAAATGAGGTGAAGGAAGTTTTGTGCTGAGCATGAAATCAGAGGCTTGATTCAATTATTCTTAACACACTGCTGAGGTCCCACAGAAACCTGTGCATGGGAGCTCTTAAACCTAGTCTAATTGAAGCAAAAATCAGTGAAGTGGAAAGTGTCCTGGCTCTTCAAGGGATGTCAAGGTATATAACATGGGAGAGGGGCGGGGGTTTGGAAAGCAGTGACAGCTACAAGCTGACCTCTGGCGAATTTAATCTGCAAATGGATTCCCGCTTAGGACAGCTAATGCTTTTAGTTACTGTAAAGGCTCATTCCTGGATTCTAAAAAGCTGAGAATAAATGGATTTCATGATGCAGCTCCTATGCATGTTGCATAACAAATGGGTGGCTTGTGGATGCATTTAAATGATACAGTGCACTGGAAAACTTTGCAGGACTTATGAATAGTAATTTTAATTCATACACAATGGGGAGAGTAATTTTTTCTAGTTAATATGGGAGAAAGGACTTGGCATTTGTTAAAATGGAAATACACTGAAGACGGAGCCTGCTGAAATGAAAGGGAGGAGGTTGCTGGTTTGTGTTTGTTTCCTAAACCATATTCACGAGCATTGCAGGGGCTTGTTACTCAGCTGGGCAGTGACTTGACTGAGATTTGCCCTCTGGGATCTGAAGGGAGGATGTGATATGGTAATATCTGCTTATTAAAAATCCATCTTTATTTTTCTTTCCTGGCGCTGGGATTGTTTGAGCCAGATTGCTCCGGTGTCTCACCCAGCATACACAAGTGCAGGCAAACACAACTGGCAGGCAGAAGCAGTCTGGTTCCAGGGTGTAGAGGTTTGGTTTTACCTTTCCTTTCCTTCTCTCTTCTCCTGTGGGGGTCCGTGCTCTTCCCTTCCCTTTGGACACAGGAGACTGAGCCCGGAGCCGTCAGTTGACTTTCCTGGAGCCAGCAGCAGTTCTGAGTCCTGTAGTGCTGTGTTCGGGTCCGGTCCCCTGCACTGTAGCATCTACAAGGAGCTACCAGCAGCACAAAAGTTGTTTTTAAAGCACAACATTACCGCTGTGGCTCTTTCTGCCCTGCAAGAGGGCTTTGGTAAATTCATCTCTGCTTGGCCGTGAATCCATGGCTCGGTCCTGTGCCGTGTCACAGTGACTTCAAACTGAGCTGTGGATCTTGCCCACTGCAACTGAGAGCAGCTTCAGCCACAAATACAGTGTGCTTGCTTAACTTAAACATGTGTCTGGTGATTGTAGCAAGGAACTCAAATTCCAGAATAACTCAGTGAACGCTTTGGGCATGGAGACTTCAGGCTTGTGCCTGTCTGATGAATGCTTCTGGTTTGTCACCTCAGTAATCCCTGTATTAACGAATGGCCTGTGATGTGATGTGCTTCACTGACAAATCCTTGAAGTTATATATGACTGTGAGGAAGTGCTGGAGTTCTCCAAGGTGCAGGTTTACAATGCTTTTTATCAACCTCAATGTGACAGCATGTCAGCAAGTGGAAGAGAGGCACAGTGAGAGCCTGGGAATTCACCTTGCCTCACAAGGTCACCACACGGGGCAGAAAGAGCTTTTTCCTCTCTCTTGCCTTTCATCTGAGAGGATCCACACTCATCAGTGGTGCTGCCGAGTGCTCTGTCCACATGATGTGCACACTGGACATACGTGAGTCCTTGAGCCTTCTTGTTCAGAGATGTTATCTCCTGTGCTTGCCCTGAAATCAGCAGCTCCCAAGGAGGCAGTGTGATTGCAGCAGAATAGTAAGAGGCTGTAAAATCTTGAACCTTCCCAATGAGATTTTAATTATGATACTACAGTTAGGAGAGGAAATTTATTTGCAGCGCACTACTGTATTTACAGTTATTCAGCATCTTTGCCCATTCCCTCTGTATCCCTTATTTCCCCGCTTGTCCCAGTACCAGTAACACTCCCCACTGATGTGGCACTGGGCTGTCAAGGCAGCTCCTGTGCTGTGGCAGAGCGTAGTTTTGCTGAGGTGGGCGCCAAGCTCTGGGGTTCCTATGGCTCACCCTGAGCTCACGGTGCTTCACCCGCAGCCCCTGTGCTTGCGTCTTCCCCAGTGTCACCGACCCACCTTCACTCCTTCCCATCCCTCACTGACCTGAAGAGCCTCGGCGCATCCCTACCCCTTCCACAGCCGAGAGGGATGAGCCTGGGTGTGGTCACACCCCCCCCCCGCCTTATTGGTGCTGGCGTGGCTGCCCCATGGCCCTCGCTGCAGCCTCTGTCCCAGGGCACGCGGAGCTTACACGCAGTGGCTCTTCTTCTGCCAAAGAAGGGGCCTGGTGTCAGAGCCCGGCTTAGTTCTTGTGTCCGGGGCAGGCAGGTCAGGGAGGGGCACTTTCCGGAGACAGAAGCATCCCTCGGAGGCAGGAGCATCCCCAGGGCAGGGGCAGCGCCGCGCTCCGCCCGCCCGAGACGCGCCGTGCCCGACGGGGCGGGCGGAGCTCCGTGCCGTGCTGTGCCGAGCCAAGCCGTGCCGTATGGGAGGAGCCAGCGGGCTCCACCGCCCCTGCGCGCCGCCCCCCCCCGCCACCGCCGCGGCATTTCGCGGCCGGCCGCCGCGGAGCAGGGCGCGGGGGGATGATGGATCTGCGGCTGCTGAAGCCCCGCGCCCGCCAGCCCGCCGTCAATGGAGGAGGACGTTGAGACCCGCAAGATCAGCAGCAGTTTCCTGCGAGACCACAGCTATGCCACGGAAGGTGAGCGAGTGCCGCGGAGCCGCAGCCCCTTTCCCCGCAGCAGGTGGGGGGGCCGGTCCCGGCCCCTGCCGAACCCCCGCTGCCTGCATCGGGGCCGGGCCCCGCTCCCCCCTGCCGAGCCGCTCCGCGGAGGCTCAGTCCGGACCCGCTGACCCTCTCCGGTGACTCAGCAGCGCCGGACCCTCCGGATCCCGCGGCGCTGGGCCCCCCGAGCCGGGCTGGAGGGTCCGGCCCGCCCCGCGCTGGCCCCTCGGTGCTGTGAGGGAGCGGAGCCGCAGCCGGGCAGGAGAACAGCGAACCGGGGTCCCAGGACCCCCATCTCCACCCGGGCATCGGGAGCGGAGCGGGTCGAATCGAGCCCGGCCCCGCCGGCAGCCTCCAGCCCAGGCCGATCGCAGCCCGTTCCCCGAGGAGCCGGGACCGGTTCCGGGCTGGGGGCTCCCGGCAGACGGGAGGCGGGCGGGAGCGGTTTCAAGCTCGGCTTCCTTAGGTTACAGCTGCATCAGCGCATCCGCAGGTGGCCTGTGGCTGCAGCGGGGTTGTCAGACTTGGAAATAAGGTAGATCCCGGTGCGGTTCTCGGTACAGAAATGAAATAGTTATCTCAGGGCTATTTTTGCTGCAAGCCTCTGCAGGAAGAATTGCGTGTTCTGACTTGCGTGTTGCGGGGGTTGAGGAGATGCCAAATCTGTTGGACATGGCCAGTGTCAGCCCCGGCGAAGCTCACGGGTGCGTCTGAGCACGGTTTCCCGCAGGCTCGGGCAGCGGAGCAGACGCTGTGGCCATGTTCGGATCAGGCATCTGAAGGGAGCTGCAGGCTGCTCGTGATGCTGCAGCTGCCACAAAGAGGGAGGCTCCACCGGCGGGGCTGGAGGAGTGACAGGGCAGGAGCAGCGGCTGCCTCTGCTGCCCTTCCCGACAGCCCAGAGCTGCTTCCATTGCCTCCAGCCTCCCCATGCATCCTTGCCTCGGGAGGAAAACACAGCCACTGTGGAGCAAAACCACCGGCTCCATCCCTCCCGGTGGCACTGACCCCTTGCATCCAACTTCAGAAAACAGGCTGAACACCAGGGAGCCTGGGCAGGCTTAGTAGTAGTAGTTAATAAATACAGGCTTATTAATAGTAGCTAATAAATAAAGGCTTATTAATAGTAGTTTGGCTGATTAGTAGCCAAAGAGGCTTTCCTGTGCTGGTTCATCCTCCTCAGGCTCAAAAGGAAGCCAATGTAGGACCAGACTTTGGGAACGTTATTACTCCAGCCCATGGCTAAAGGAAGGTTTATCAGGAACATATCTGGTTTAATACAGGAGTGGAAAGCTTTGGGTACCTGGTGAGCCACAGAAAACGGCCATAGGGACGTTCGTGTTGCCTGTGTGTGGCTGGAACATCAGTGCCAGGCACTGGCAGTGCCCAGAGCAGGGAGGTGGCACACCGGCTGTCCCTGGCTCGCTGCTCCTGGTGTGTCACATGTGGGGCTGGGTGGCAGACGCCTCACCGGTGCAGGAGGCAGGGAAGCTCTGCCGGAGGGGTGGGATGGAGCCGAGCTCCCGTGTCCACAAACCTGGCTCACATCACTGCGGGCTGTGGCGGGATGAATTTGCTGTTTCTGTGTTATAAAAGGCAGCTGCAGCAGGCAGCAGACAAAAACTGGGGTTATAGCTGCCCTGTTGTGACCTGCTGAGAGCGTGCTTTCTGTGGCCGGGAAGAATGGAGGGTTGAGGTGAGCCTGATGAGCAGATATAGTGATTTCAGTGACGCCGGGGCTTCCAGGGGTTTTCAGGGGTAAGATCCAGTCTGTTTCGTAATCCGTGGTGGATTTCCTCAAGCTGCACGCTGGTGTTTTCAGAAGAGCTTTGTGTGCTGTATGAGAAAACCATAGCCCAGCTCTGCCCAGTAAACGGGCCGGCAGGGTTTGTGCGGCGGTAATGGACTCATCCGAGGGATCGCTGCTGCTGCGGCCGGACTGAATCAGCCTCAGGAGCCTGTTTGGTGGCTGTCTCTCAGCTGGGAGTTTCTCCTCATCTCATGCCGCTCGGGACTTGTGCTTCTCCATGCGGTTGTGATGCTGGAGGAAGGCTGAATGTGCTCTGAAATGGTAGATCTTGCTAGCGAGGAAAACAAGTGAAGGAAGACGATTCAGTTCTATTTTTTATTACACGTGAAAGCAGAATGTGCCTAAACCGATGTGGTCGGTAACATGTCTTGAAATAAAAATCCTTCCAAATCCTGCTCCGGAGGTGAAGGCTCCAAGTGAAGGTGTCCGTGGTGTGTCAGTGAGGGAAGGATGGGGTTATGCAATTCGGTTTAGTGAAGTGTCGTCACTTAAATAGGTCTGGTATTTGAATGCAAATGCGGGATGAGGATGGCTTTTCAAAAGCAGACACTTGAATGCCTCCTTCTTACGGTGCTCAAGAGTGCTGTTAATGAAGGAGGTGCAGCCATTGTGCTAACTCGACTTTGGCTGCCAGAGAATACCGAGTTGCAGAGATGCAGCTGCATCCCCACACTTGGAGCCGGGTGAGGCTCCAGCCTTGCTGTTCGGTTGTTGGCTGGCCCGGAGCTGGCAGCACTGCCGTGAACGGCGGGTTCCTCGTGAGAGATGCTCGCAAAATAAGCTTGGTTTGTTCTGCTGCATAACCCCATCTTCATTGGCAATTCTGCTCAACGCCCAGCCAGAAGTAGGACAAATTGAGACTATTTGGATACAAACAAACCGTTTGAGTAGCTTGCACTGCTAGACGTGCTTCCTAGAGGCGTGGGGCCCCTGCACATTGGCCCATTTCCAGTAGCTTGACCCAAAATGCCCATCCCCTGAAGTCTTCAAGCTCTGCGTGTCACCTTTCTTGTGTGGTGCTGCCCACCCAGCAGGTCCCCCAGTCCTCTTGGTGGTTGACAGTTGGGTAGATACCTCCAGACAGAGGAGGGATGGTGTGAACACCCTGTTCTGTGCTCCGTGCCCTGATGAGAGGGACATTTGGACCCAGCCCATGTGGGTTCAGGTGGGATGCCTGTGAGCACATGGTTGTGCTGTTGGAGGAGGACCCTTGTCCCACGGCCACAGTGTGGGCCTGCTGTGGGGCCAGCTGTGATCCAGAAGCACCCCTGGAAGGATATCCCTGTCTCTCATCGGCTCTGCCAATGGAGTACCTGCCCTACAGGGGCTGTGTGGCCTCAGGGATGCACCCTGTCTCCTGGGCCATGGCTCCCTGCATCTGCTTTTCAGTTGCTCCCCACACCCCTTTTCCCAGTGTGCTGGCTGAAGTCCATCGAGTCTTTAATCTCTTTGAGGAGTGTTTCCTAAATCAAATAGATTTTTCCATTGAGAAATCTATCATTAAGCCCTCATTTCCTTTTCCTAGTTTAATCCTGTTACTTCCAGCTGAAACTCCCTTGCCTCTCTTGTCATTCCCGTTCCACTTTTTTCCCTGTCCCACTGTCATACTGTGCTGCTGGAAGGAGCTGCCTCTGCCCTGATGCTGAGGACATGGCCTCATGAGTCCCCCCACCAGGAGCTCACCAGGAGCTGTGGGTACCCTGGAGCCGCTGGGTGCATGAGCAGAGGATAAATTCAGGCTCCCCTGCTCTGTTTTGTGGGGAGAAGCAATCCGTGCCATTACAGCCTGACCAGGTGGTCACCCGCCTGCAGGGAGCACATTCCAGAAGCAGCCTGGGTCATGCTGTGCCAGGTCCCTAAACACTGTTTCATTTCCCGGTCAGTTTGTGAAGAGAAATCTGTGGCCACAGTGACCTCTATAAAAGCCTGCATGTGGTTCCCAGAAAAGCACAAGGTGCTTGACCCCAGCCTGGGTTCACGGTGAGAGCTGGTGGGTATTTTTGTTGTTGCGAATGATGTCAGTTTATTTTGGGGATCATCTGGATTGGGATTTAATTAATCCAGGAACCTCCGTGAAGTTGTTGTTTTATCACATAAATCCTTTGATTATGAAACATAATCCCATCTTTTATGCTTTTTATTTATACACATGCACTATGTTTAGCCCTCCCTTCCTCTTCCAGAGTCTTTATTCCAGCCAGGTTGGAAGGACCCACAGGCGCATCTCCCTCTGTCTAATCCTGGGATCACTGTGAGGAGAGCCTTGTGCTTGTAGTGCCCTGCGTCAAAGCCGACTTGGGGATACTTTTAAGTTCAGATTAATGAGAGAATAGATATGCCTGGGGATGCTGTAATCTTGGGATTAGTGAGAGGACTGGGAGCAGGTAATGAATGATGTGACTCTGACCCGGTGCTGATGGTCTGCGAGAGTGCCTGGTCACTGGTGACAGCATCTGTGGGGCACTGCACGATCCTCAGGTTTCCAAATGGGATGGTGGGACTTGGTGGAGTGGTGGAGGCCTGGGGCAACAAAAGCTTTCCCCATGCCCCTTCCGTCCTGTCCCTTCTGTGCCTATCTCCGTTTTGTGCCTCCCCTTGGATGTGCTTGCTCCTCAGCTGGCTCCTGCAGTGATGGCCAGTCTCTATAAACCACTGGTGTCTCATCAGTGTCCTGCGGCCGCCAGCGTGTGTGGGGCTCCATGCCATGGTGGGGGTCTGCCTTGGGCTGTGTCGGGCAGGGCACAGGGAACTTAAGTGGGGAAACTTCTGGAGGTCTGGAGGAGCAGCAGTTGTGTGAAGGGGAGCAGACTTGGGAAGTTTTCCCATGGGATAGTCAACCCTTGTAATCTTTCAGTATCTGTGAGGCTGGATAAGGTCATGAGAGCTGTCAAGGCTTACTAAGCACGGAGAGATCACCTCTGGCTTGGGAGGCCCCTGAGCTGAACGTTGTTAGAGGGTGGGAGAACATGATTGGAAACACATTACGTGATTTCGCTGTTGGCGTGCATCTCCAGTTATCCATGGGGGATGGGATGCTGGGCTGGATATGCTTTTGGTTTTACTCAGTATGGCCTTGCTCCCTGGCAAAGCTGTTGTCACTTGTGTGAACAAGAGTCCACAGGGCTCTACCAAACCCCTAACACCTCCTTCCCAAAGATATCCTGTC